ACTGATCATCTACAATGCTAAAGAGCCATAAATAAAGGGACTCTGTCAGATTCTCTTGTTAATTTAAAAGGCTTCCCCTTGCTGACAAAGAGGCTATCTGTACAGTAGCAAACGCTGTGGGGGTATAGGTTTAACTGTACAATATTTATCTAGGCCAACATGACACACAAAACAAAAAGGTCAAACTGCAGACACACATAAAAATATTCACCCATCATAAATCTTTATTTCCCTTGTAATTATAAAACACTTATCTGAAATCAGGATTCTTTGACCTACCAGTCCTAGCAGCGGAATTCATTCTCCATAGCCATTAAAAAATCAGAGAACCTGGTACAATGTGACCCGGCTCTGAAGGCCGAGTAGATCTCCTGGACTCTGTCTCGGGTCAAACTTAACACAGAGGTGTCACCTCTCCTTACCACCACGTGCATGTGCTCCTGAGTCCCACACTCAACCGGCCACACAGTATGATAAATAAATAAATGTGTCCACTCTACACACACATAGATAGGCTACACATTGCCATCCAAACACACAGAAGACATACACAATGTTATCAAACACTAAGTATAGTATTAAGGCTGTGTTAAGAGATGGTTTAAACATTCATGTGATTGCTTAAAAAAATTTCAAGCATGATTCTCACTGAATACAGTACAGAGCACAAAATGTCTCTTCTTCATTACTGTTGAACTAAATTAAAATAGATCTGCAAAACCACCCTCTACCAACTGCAGCCAAACAATCCCTGCCTACAAGCAAATACAATGTATAAAAAAAGTCAACTTTAGTTGCCTGAGCTAGTAAACATAATTTTAAAGGAGTAAATATAATTGAATAGAGTATGGCTAACTAAACTTGAGAATGATCCCTTCATTTTACGATCATGCATTTATAAAGGGATGGAATTTCTTCCCAGCTGGCTCAGTGCGTATATTGTAGAGTATATGCCCATACCTATGATCAGGTGTAACATGATAAGCTGGCATGCAATGACAATTCACCCTTAAAAACATCACAGAAAATACTGCTAACAAATTAACAGATCCAGTGTGCCAACAAGACTTTAAATACAACAAGCGAAAAAACAATTTGCAAAAATTGTTAAAAAAAGAATTAAAGTTAAATAAATGAAGCTTTCAAAAATGAAACGTTAAAAGAGTTGATGAACTCAAAAATGACACATTCAAGTTTTAGTGAATCCAATACCAAGAGAAAGAACGCTATTATTTATGAAAATTTATCCCCTATCCTCCCCAAAAATCTGCATTCCACCTTTTCGTTAAACAGTGTATATAACTTTTAGGGCCAGAGAAGTAGATTTTTCAAACACTTGTCCTTGCATGGGCAGTGAGCAGGTGATGGTCAAAACTTACCCTTCCCAAAACATTCTAAACTCAACCATTACAACTAAGCTCAAAAGTGGGGCATTGGTATTCGACAACCCTTAATACTCCTCCTGAAACCTTCTGATTAATAAAGGGGGCCGGTTAATTTCTATTCTCATTACTATAATATTTAATGTCTCATTTAATTATACGAGGGCCGTTCAAAAATTACGCGGACTTGCTGCACATAATCGGGCAAAATGTTGCACATAATATAAAAGAATTTTTACTTATATGGTCTACAAAATTTCATATCAAAATGTTGTAAATCGGTATCAATTTTGAGTGATTTTTCAGGACATATCATTTAGTCACGGAGCAGCAAATTGCCAAAATCTTCAACGTCACATCATTATAAAAAAAAATATGTGATTGAGCTTTCCTTTTCTCAACATTTTCCCAAGAGTACCTGTACAGTTTGAGTCATCTTATCTACTCAACATCAAAACACAATTTCTTGTCAAGCTTTAAATCTACTAAACAAGTAAAGAATATTCTTTTTTTTTGTTTTAAAATCAAAAACTGCAGGTACTTATGAGATATAGTGTGATATTGATGACTCTCAATCACGTTCTTTACATTCCAGATAAAGTTTTCGTCGATAATCCTCTTCCCGTCCTCCAGTGTAGACATTTTACAGAGGTCTAATGGTCTAAAATTCCTATTTACTATTTGTGGACGAATGTCACGAATACCCTAGTTTACTACATGTTTTATTATGCATATTTTGGATCTATGTTGGCGATATCTCGAGCATTACACATAATTTAACTTAAGTGTGGTGCGCCGTCAATTCACGAGACGTCATTTTCACAGTCGTGTTAACGGGGATCGCATCAGAGGAAAATCACTATATATCTTTTAGTACTTCAAATATCACGCCAGAAATCCAGATACATAATAATAGAACAATTTAAAGATACGTTTGAGAAAATTGTCGAAAAATATTGCGAATTATAGAAAATAAATGAGTTAAATTTTGGATTCCGCATGCTTTTGCTTCAAATTTTTTGTCGTGCTCCGTACCTCTAAATCAGCGATATCAATATACCGATAATTTTAGTATAATTTTTTTAAAATACAGAAATTTTGCCCAAAATTTATAGGAATCTTTGAGATACATATTTCTGTGAAATTTCATAACTCTATGACGTCTGTAAGAGTAAATAATAGCACAGTCCGCGTAATTTTTGAACGGCCCTCGTACATGTGGTAAAAGGAATTATAATAATAGTATTTGTGTCTCTAAAAGAGTTACAGAAAATCGCAATAAAAATTTTTGAATTATGTTTAATACATAAGATTCAGTTAGAAATATAGAATGGATTCCCCGAGAGTTGAATGATCAAGCAGATTATTTAAGTCGTATTGTAGATTTTGATGATTGGGGAATAAGCCTAGGTTTATTTGAAGACATTTCTCGAGAATGGGGTCCTTACGACATAGATTTGTTTGCTTCTGATTACAGTGCTCCAAGTCACACTTGCTCTTAGGTCGCAAAATGGCGACCTAAAATTTTTTTTGGTCGCCATTTCAGAATTTCTGGTCGCCATAATCAAATATTTCACTCGCCATAAAAAAATACATATTGTGAATAAAACTTATTAATTTAAATAAGGATATGTATTATGTCTTTATTATATCAAAGATTACTATAATTACTGTTACTATAAAAATTTGCTAGGTTGAATGAATTATTTTTATTGAATACATGTACCCTTATGGTTGTACAGAAGAACACAAGTAATCTGATTACAGAAATAAAATTTTATCAAATGAAAAACAAGCTTGACAGCTGTTGAGACAGGACTTTGCCTGCTGTTTGTCATGTTTACTTACTACTACGTACCTAACCCATTACACAGTCATTATCAATGCCGCCAAAACACTTTTTATTAGCATGATTCATTGTGATATGCAAGCAATTGACCAAATGTTTCAATAACAAGGTCGGATCTTAGAAAGTTTACGAAGTTTGGATGTCATTCTATCAGGAACATTATTTATACACGTTTCTGGTTCTATCAAACTTTTTACAGCATGCTGCCATAACATTACGTGATCCAAATCCATGCGACGCTTTGTAAAGTGTATTTATTAAGTATATGTCTTCAAACATTTTCTTGATGGAGAATCTTTACATATGAAATCTCGATCCCGATCTTAAAAATGGACGTTTCCAGCCCAAATTTTCTCAGTCGCGAAAATGCGAGTGTGTTTTCATTTTTAGTCGCAAAATCAATGTTTTGGTCGCAAATGCGACCATTTTAGTCGCAACTTGGAGTACTGGATTATAATGCAAAAGTTGAAAAATTTTGTTCCAGATATTGGAATCCATTTTCATTTGCAGTGGATGCCTTTACGCTAAACTGGACAGGTTGGAATGCTTGGATAGTTCCTCCTATATTTTAATACCTTAAATGTAGGGGATGTGGTACGTTGATAACTCCTTTTTGGGAATCGTTGGCTTTTTGGCCTATTTTAATTTCAGATGTTTTCAAAGCACATATTGTAGATTGGAGAGACCTTCCTGCTGCCAAAGAGTTTTACACATCTGGGAAATTGAAGTCTGGCACCTTTGGCCGAGAAGATTTGAAATTTAGAATGCTTGCAATTTTGTTGGATTTTAGAGAAAATTTTGATTTTCATTTACAGAAATATTGTATGCAGTTTAAAGTTCTGCAGTTAGATTGCAAATATTTGCATGGTGCACTTGGCTATTTAGCATAAATGTTGGAATCAATTTGAATTTGAAATTTTGGCGAGTTTGTACGCATTTATTTCATTTAGATTGCTTTTAATTAATTGCGTATTTTAGGCGCAAAGTGAATAAAAGGAAAGAAAACAACCCTAGTTTTTTGCAAATTGTGACTTTTTGTCATGATAATCAAATCAATAGCTTATTTTTCAAATGATTGGGTTTTTTTCCCATGTTTATTGGAATAAAACTATCATTTGTTGACAAAAAAATAAAATAATAATCATTACAAGTTTATTTTGCTCTTTCACAATTATCAAACTGCTTGTTCTGTACATATTAATTTGAACCTAACATCCACCCATCCCCACCACTCTCTTCCAAAATGGGAAAACAATTGCTACCATATAACATGATATAAATAATTTATTTTTACTTGTATAGAACAATTAAAGCTCTCTATTAAGCCACTTTATCATCCTCAACTGAACAGCTGGTGAATGTGAATGTGCTGACCAGACATCCATAATGAGTAAAATAACAACTATAATATTCATTCCATTGACATTGTCCAAATTCACAAACTCAAGACATTCTTAAACAGTAGGTCAAGTTACCATACTGCCCTTGTTATCTGCAGTTATGTGCTAACATTAATCCTCATCAATGCATGTGCAGCATAAATGCTCGCGAGAACTGGTTTTCTTTCACACAAGTTCCCCTTTCTATCCACCTCACGAACGTATACACAGTCTCATTGTTTTGTTCACGATTTACTAATCACACCAGGTTAATTTGACCAGACCAAACTGCAAGACAGATTAGCCCACTTTCGATTTGGAAATACTTGTGTGACTATCTCCCATTGACCCCAAAATGCAGTACTACCCTCAGAATAAGAAAAATCTTACCAAGACACTCTTCATCAGCAAATTCAGATGGAAGAAATAGTTGCTGCAATAATCGATCTGCTTTCTGTATTTCTCCTCGACGCCCTCTTGTGGGGATTTTTACATTCATTCACGTGAAACAGAAGCTTAAAATCTCGTGTGCTGGTTGAAATATCAACAAACATTTAGGTGATTAGATTTTTTATCGCGAAAGACACGAGAAAAGCGAGATAACTCTTTAGAAATTATTTCTACCTTTTTATTTTCAAAAAAAAAAAAAAAAAAAAATTGAAGTAAAAAAAAAAAAAACAGCATTTCTTTTATGCTACGTTTACACCCTATGTTCCCGGCAGCCACGGCGATCACGTTTCAGGTCATCGTGGAAAAAACGGGACGGGCGTGAGAAAACTTGGAGCAACGGGATGGGCAAACGTAACTCATCGCGATTGCCGTGGATGCCGTGCCAGATTTTTAAACTGTCAAAAAATTTGCCACGGCGGCCACGTTGCAGATGTGAAACTTAGTAGGTCGTAGTAAAACGGAATAAACGCAACAAAACGCGACAGCACGTAATAGACCATATCAGAACTTGGAGGCAGTCCGCAGTGGGACGGGAGAATGTATATTTCCATTCATCTCACGGTCCATTCACGTTTTGAGACGTTTTGCTGAGTTTAGTCCGCGTTCTGTCACGGCTAGTTCACGGTTGTTGTCCATTTTATCACGTTCTGCCACGTTTCATCACGGTCCTCACGGCAAACTAGGGTGTATGGTAGCCGTTTCCTCGCGTTCAATCGCGGTTCGTCCCGGCATGTTACGGTTTATGGTCCCGGTGCGTTGCGTTCTACTACGGTCTGACACGGCGCACGCGGTCTGAGAGGAAGCATATAAAAGCCGGGCACTGCAGAGAAGTTTCATTATGGATCCATATGGATCTCCGCCTTCTCATCCGTCTTATTCGTCTCATTCCTAGTTGCTGCACTCCTGCCTTCCCTCTCTGTAACTGCTGCTGGTTCTCTTCATTTTGACGAAGTGATTTTAGGTATGCACCCAGCAAACACGCGAAAATAAAATCTTCGTCTTGGGAATTCATGATGTTTTAAGATTTAAGGGTCAAGATGCAATGATTGTTTCTGGTTAGGAGACCTTCTCTGGTACAAACGTGATCCATAGTTTCCCGGCGTGCATGTTTCATACGTAGAAAGACTTGACAGAACGTGAGAAACGTATAAGAACTTCATAAAAACGCGAGAAAGGAGAGGGGACCTATCAGAACGTAAGAGGCCTGGGGAGAACGTGCTGGCATACGTGGCAGAACTGTAGTGCGCCGTGGAGCCTCCGGCACTCCACGGCAACTTCTTCCTACGGCCCATCACGGATTCCGTAGAAGACCGCAAAAGAACTTGTCAAGACTTGGATATAGAGGGGAAAATAACCAAAATCTCACGGCGCACTACGTTTCGGGCAAACGGGGCTGCCGTGGCTGCCGGGAACATAGTGTAAACGTAGCATTAGTCTCCTGGATCCCCTACAAATACAATCATAGGGGGCTTGTCTCCCGGTATGTCGCAGAATAATTAATAAATTTTTTATTCTTCGTCATGCGCGGATCTGGGGGGGGGGGGGGTCCGCCCCCCCCCCCTTCCCCCTGGAATATGCAAAGCTATTAAATTTATACATATAATCAACTAAAAAGTGACCTTGGACACCCCTTAGAAAACGGAGACCCCCCTTGAGAACGCGGACCTGTTTTATGTTCGTATGAAAAGTCATGGGTAAAAAGCATTAGAAGTAAAAACTCATCAGCAAATATCTGTCAACCAATACCCCCACTTCATCCCCACCCCACCCCACGAATAAGGATTTTCACGTTGGGTTTTTTTTTTTTTGGCTTGTCAACAAGTCTTTGAGTTGAGTTGGATTTTTTTTTTTACTTTGGTGGACCCCCCCCCCCCCCTTGGAAAAAAATCCTGGATCCGCGCCTGTTCGTTAAATCGTTAAATACATAGGCGTCGGAAGCGGGCAGGGGGGGGGGTGTGCTTAGCTCCCCCCACTTTTTTTTTGCAAAGATAGACATAATATAAACATTTAAAGTAGGGGTTTACCAACTTTTGTCTCCGACGCTCATGAAATACCCTAAAACAGTTGTTAAAATAAAATATTCTGACACTTTCAGGGAAAAAAAAATCACGTCTAAAAAAAAGTCGTACCAGACCTATATATATGCACATAAACTCTAAAGAGTTGAAAATTTGTGTCTTAATAATTAGTTATCTATACTAAGGTGGTAGGAGAGGCATATCCCAGAAAAAAAAAAGATTATTTGAAGAGCAGATCACTTTCTATACGGATATTTTCATGGGTCTATATAATTAGATATTCCATAAGATTTGATAAAAACAACGAAGAACGCAGAAATGACATAGGATAAAAGGGAAAGTCGTCTACTGTTGTTTATCGCCACTGCTTGCATAGAAAATTCAAAGCAGACAGGTTTCATTAAAATCTTTTTATTTTGATACTTTATATATTCTTGTATCTAATAGGTAAAATGTTTTAATTTTACTTTGCTGTATTCGATTTTTCCCCTCATAATCCCAATAAAAATATTATCCATTTTATTTTATATAAATGCAACCAAATTATAATACAAAGAACAATGGCTTAGTACCGGCATTATCTTTGGATAGGGTCACGTATGATAAAGCTGCAATAGCGTAGCTCTCTTTTTTTCCTACTGAAAAGAACAGATAAATATATTGAAGAGGGCTACATTATAACAGCTTGATCAGTTACAAGTTTCCACGGATAGAACCTCTTACGTGTGTATGTTTTTTTTTTAAATACCGTAAAAGAAAATCTATTTATATGCCTTTTATATCAACATGAATCCTTCACTCCCCCCCCCCCCCCCTTCACATCCGAAAAAAAATTAATATTCATTCACATATTTCATTTTTTAAATATTTATATACATAACACATTCCCCTAATTGGTGACCGAAACGAGGAAGTTCAACAACTAGAGTTGACACCTGTGTTTGAGAAATAACATATGGAGAAAGATATGTATAGACAGATAAAAATTCCATGGGAATCAGTACCACACGAGTTACGCTATTACTAATATAGATCGGATCATCTTCTCTAGCCAAAGGTTTTTGACACGCTACTCTCATAATTATAAGGAGAGTAGCGTATCAGAAACCTGTCATGTTGTAAATTTTGAAGTTACCGGGTAGCAGTAAGTACAAAATTTACAACACGACAAACCCTTGACTAGCGAAGATGTAGTTTCTGCAAAAATACGGTTGCCCGTTGAGGCCAGTTCAAAGAAAGACTTTTTTTGCGTTTAAATGCAATAATTATTGCGCGTTTAAACGCAAAAGATTGTATTAAATCTTGAACAGCAATATCTTTAACACCTGCATACGGAGTATATATATCTCAGATGATTCGATATGCAAGAGCAAGCTCTACATACGAACAATTTCTAAAACGAGGTAAATTGACAAACAAGTTGATGAAACAAGAATAACAGCAGTACCGTCATCATTTCGTAAGTTCAATGGTCGATATAATGACCTTGTCAGCAAATACAATTTATCAGTGAGTCAAATGCTGAATGACATTTTCTTAATAAGTGTTAGTCCATTATTTATACACTGAATCGAAATCGGAATCGGAATTTTCCCGTTATTTCCTGATTATAACAAGGAACTCACGGCGGGTGTGACCGGTCAGCAGGGGATGCTCAATCGGCCCCAGATTCCACCTCTGATGTTTTGGAGGTCCGTGTTTGCTTTGCTCCTATCTTGTTATTGCTTAAGGGACTTTTGATCTTGAATACTATAAGTGATCTTCATATGTTTGAGTAATGAGTATAAATTCAAAACTAGAGGTACTGTGAGCAATGAGCTCACGAAATGATACCCCCCGCCTCCCATAATGTCGATGTGTTGCTATATATTGTTTTACGGTAATGTGTAAAGAGGAATAACTCGTCCTATCAAATGTTATCCAGAAGCTTCTATTATGTGACGTCATAGGTAAAAAAAAAATGGCAATGTCCATGTTTTGCTCTGGGAAACGTAAAATACGTGTCGAATAAAAAAGTAAAATAGGAGGTGCACAATGGCAATATGTAATAAAGATTCTGTGAAAGTTTCATTAAATTTCACTCAGTAGTATAAGAGGAGTTGCGGATAAGAGAAAAAGCGTAACAGACGGACGGACGGAAGGACGGACGGACGTACAGACGGACGGACGGACGGAAATCCCGATCACTATATACTAGGGATGTCAAATCGGTCAATTTTCAACACTCGGTTACTCGGACGTTTTTCCGATCGAGTACCCGGGTACTCGTAAAAGTGTAAATAAATATGAACAAGTAAATTGAAGACTGTAAAACATTGTAAACTCTTGTAGAAATAAAACCAGGTGCACTGATAGGAGGCTTATCCGTAAGTGTATTTCTGCTGTAATAATGATGAGCACTTCATGCCCGACGAAATTTAATATAACAATTTTTAAATTCAATTTCTAAAGTCAATTTATTTATCAGATAAACACAAGAAATAAAATAATAAGTTGTTCTCAGTGTTTTTATTTAAAAAAAATAATCTGCTCCGTAATTGTAATGTAACTCTTTGTAGCGTTTGACGACCAGGTATCAGTCGCCTGAGCTACGTACAGTATCAACTTGAACTTGATCAAGTTCTCCTAACAGAGCGGATTTACGATTTTCGTACACTTGTTCGATCCGAGATTTATATAGTATTACGGGACGGTATTTTGTAGTTTGATGCAACGATGGACATAAGTTTTTTTTAAGCCTTTGCCTTCAACCAGTTGTATTGGCATGTAATCAAACACAACCATATCAGCAATCGCACGTGTAATATCATCCGCTCTTTTCCCGAGAATTTACGGCTTCTCGGAGAATTGACAAAATTATCTAATTTATTTAAACATTATGGATCTTAAGTGATGTTCAGTGAAAACAAATTATTAAAGCCAAACAAAAAATAAGGGTAGAAGACAGTCGAAGGTAAGAAAAGCCAGGTACCCTAGGTGCTTGTTCACAATAATTACTGTATAAACACTGCC